ACTCTCATTAGCTTTTCCGTGGCTTTTGGAGAGGGAGGAGGGGGAGAGGGAGGGTGGGTGACAGCTGGCTCCCAGAGCTTCCTGGTCTCCATCTGACTTCCCTGCTGCATTCCTTGGCAGGCAGGACAGAAACACTTGTGGCGGAAATGCCGCTCGGCACATGCCAGGGCTCCCTCAGTTCCGGGCCCTCGCTGTTCCAATTCCGAGGAGCACCTTGACAAAGCCCAGCTGTGATATGAGGCTCTCTTACGAGGGGGACGAACACCTGGTCCCCATCTCTGCTCTCCCCTGGGGCCTCCAGCTCTTGCTCTGGCACCAGCGACCCCATTTCCCATCTTGGGAGCCTGAGCTACATTTGATGCATGAGGCTCTCAAGAGGACAGTTGGGGCTTCAGCCGGGTACCCAGTAAAGGTGTCTGGGGAAGCTGATGCCACCATCACTCGGGGCTGCCACTTCTCCTAACTTAAGTGCTGTCCCTCCAGGGAACTGGACACAAGATGCAGAGGACATTTTCTAGCTTCCCCTCCCCAGCTTGGAGTTCTCACCCGACGGCTTCGGCTGCCGTCTGAAAAGGGACAATCAGGTTGCTGCTAGTGAGCCAGGCATCCCCTGTCCTGTACGTCAGGGTCACCCGGGTGAGGCCCTCCTCCCTTTGTAGTAGAGCAGAAGAAATGAGCAGCCTCAGAGACAGCAGGGGGCCAGGGGCCTTTCAGCTCTGCCTGCACTCCTACCCTTATTGTCATCTGTCAACCGCAAAACCAGGAAGACGGCCCAGAATGGCAGGCTGGTCAGCCCTGAGCAGGAGGAAGTGGTCTTGAGTTAAAGTCCCCTCCTCCCCACAGCCAGTAACACCTGGGACCTTCCTCCAGAGAGTCTGAAGAGGAGACAGAAGATGGTGCAAAGGCCACCCACAGGTGTTTCCCATCATGGCTTTCAGATTTTACAGCCACTGTGAAAGGAAGCTTCCCAGTGGACAGGGCTAGGGAGAGACAGGCTCTGTTCATTTGACCTGAGGCCACGTCTGGGGCCCCCCTTGAGATGTTGCTATGTGTTACAGCTCTTCCTGTGTTTGGGGCTCCTTGGACCAGGGGCACCGTGTACAGTGGTATGAGCTGTCCACTGCACAACGGCAGCTGAGGGTCAAGGGGGGGCTGAAATCCAGTCTGCCTTTTGCTTGGCCAGCTGAGCATCTGTAAGGCTGGGCCCATCAAAGGGAGTTCCATTTTCTCACTCTGAATAAAGGTGCAACTCTCAGTGAGTTGCACCATGCCATGGGCTTTCAGTGATGTTTGCTTCTGAGCCTCGGCCTTCCTCATCAAACAAGCGGGGCTTTACAGAAGCTCTGTGGCTCCAGGCGACCAAACGATACAACGCTTAGCATAGCATATCCCCTGGCATTTGCTCTAATATTCAAGTTCTGGGTGACTCAGCTTGCATTGGAGGGGGCAGTTCACACAGCAACACCTCTGTTGGGAATCGGAAGGCTCCCTCTGCATCCAAATTAGCATGGCCCCCGCAGCTTTCAGGAACTACAATGAACTACTCCCCAGGATCTCATGTAAAAGGCGGGCATCTGTGGCCTTCACAGGTAATCCCTCCATATCATGGTACACCTGAGACTTGGAAAGAACAATTTGCTTTCTCCAAATGTTCCTCCTTTACCCAGGAAAGAAAGAACATTGGCATGGGAGAAATTCTGGATTCAGATTCAGTTTTGATAAGAAGTTAGCTGACTGAGATAACCAACCATCTGGATCAATATTTCCTGCCACCAGTGAGTTCTAAATGGCAGCTGGCCTCACGTTCTTGGGCCATGGACGGCCCAGCTTCGCTCCCTCATTGTTCCATTATTAGCCCCATGACACGAGTGGTCTTTTTACACATATTTCCCAGCACCATGAGAATGCTATTGAACTAGCCTTTCACTGAGTTTTAAATTTTGCAGTATGTAGCAGATGAAAGGTCACGTAGACCTTCTTTTAGAGAAATCAAGCACTTTATGCCTATTATATTCAGAAAATGATTATCAAATTGCAAGGCATTGTGCTTCGCTGGTTAATTCTGTTTGATTAGGACACTGGACTGTGGAGACCAAGTTCTGGGGTTCCAGCCTCAGGTCTCTGAGAGCTGCTACTGTTCTACAGCCATGGGGCATTTCCTCAAATTCAGCCAGGGAAGTGGTCTTACCCCCAAGAGCACAGGGAGCATGGATGGATCAATACAAATCCATCTCCATCTCCACCGCTGGAAACAAAAACTCAGAACGCAGCACCCATTAAAGTCTTCATAGAAAAATAGCAGGGAATTCAGGAATTTTTTTGTTTTGAAGTTTGGGCTTTCTCTCATATAGATTCTAAAAATCTCAGGAGCTTGAGAGAGTTTTCTCCTTCAGCCGGCCCTGAAAACATCTCTGTAAGTTCTCCCATGTGTACACTTCAGACACTTGGAAGGTGTCTGAAGCTTTCTCATTCCAAACACTTTGTTAACAGACCTTGGAGGACCACTGAACCAACACCACTCCGGGGATGAAGGGACATCAATAAATACTCTTCACAGAGCGTCATCGAGATTGCACTCGCTTTCCCAATACCCGTGTCTCATGAAAAGCAGCCTGGAGATGTTTGGGTGGCTCATCCTGTTTCCAGACTTCCTCTCTCACATCCTCAGCCCATGCGGTCAACCTGAAGGGCCTTCCCAGGGCTGCGGGAGGTCTGCTTTTTCCACAGTACACTACGGGCTTGTCAACAAAATCCCTAAACACCCTCCACCCACAGCCTCCGGGCCTCAAGAGAGACAGGAAGGGGTGGGTTCCCACCACTCTCTACCAGCCATCGGGGGTGGGGGGTGGGAACTCCCGTTGGTCTTGCCTCTAACAATCTGTGGCAGCTTCCTGGTGTGTGAAGCCACTTGACCATGGCAAACCATCTATGTAGACAGACAGGTGACCCACAGGCCTTATGTTCTGCAAGCTCTGATTTCTCATGAGAAAAGATCATAGAGAGTAAAGACCAAAGGAGAGAAGTCATGAGTACCCATATTTTAATTGCCACCTACTAGTGTTCCTGTGATGTTTAGATCTAGCAAATTCAAAATAATGTTTAAATTCAGTTAAAATGCATCTAGCCATGAAAGAAAAATGACTAGGTTGCTTCCAACCCAGAATTCTTGGAATTTACGTTAAAAGGATGAAATAAAGATACTAATCACACAGTAGTCAGGTTTACAAGGACTTTCCTCTTCAACAGAGGGAGGAAAAAGGCAAGTAGCATCTGTGGGTTTCCACCTTTCGGGAAGGGACATCTGGCCAGTTCCATGCATGGGACCCCTGCTCCCTGGCTGCCATGTTGGTTTGCACTGGTTTGATGTGAAGCAGTGAACAGTGCCGACTGGACCCATGAGCACCAGATGCTTGTTTTTGATGAGTGAGTGAATGAGCAGGACTGAGTACTTCCTGTACACCAAGCCCCATGCCCCAATCTTACAGAGAACATCGTGGGAAGAGGACCTGGGTCTGTGCTGTTCTGGTGGCCACAGTACAGAATCCCCCCCGTGCACCGCGGGGAAGACCTACCCACGGCTACTCCACCCCGTGGCTACCGCCCTCCTCTCCCTGTCACGCTATGCAAATGAGGCTGACAAGGGGCTGTCAGGGGTGCTGGAACTTATGCAGAGGCCACTAACACACACACGCACACGCACGCACGCGCACACGCACGCTAGCTAGCCCGCATTGCCAGACCCATGCAGCACGGCCACTTTCTGCACACGCAAAAGCCACCTGCACAGCAGCACCAGCGCGCCTCCCGCATCTGCGTGGTTGCCAGGGTTCATGGAGGGAAATTTGCAATTTTGTTTTTTTAAGATGAGCTATGGTCTGAGCCAATTTATTTTATGGTCCAGTGTGATGGCCTTCTGCCTGGGCTGCTGCAGAAGATGCACAAACCACGCAGCCCCAAGGGCAAAGGGGGAGTCCTTCTTCCTCAGGGTCCCCGAGCAGAAGATCAAATGCCAGGCCTGAGGCTGGGTGGTCCCCTGTGCACCTTCTGCAGAGGGAGCCGCTCTGTCTTTTGCAAATCCATCCCTAGGAGAGAAGCTGCGGACACTCGCAAAAGGCGGGTGTGTTGAGGGAAAAGCACTGGATTCCCTCCCCCCTCAAATGAAAGGACAACGACAACAACAAAAAACTGGTTAAAAAAAAAAAAGGAGAAAACAAAACCCAAAGAAAACCAGCTGAACTTACCACACTGCGAGTGAACTTTTCTAAGGAAGTTCTACGACCTTGCTCACTTTCTGGCTTTAGGGGGAAAAAAAGATAGGGAGAAAAATACAGAAAAAAAAATCTTCAGCTTACACGTGGTTTCCCAAGAGCAGCAGCGGCAGCTAATGAACCGAAACAAAAGCAAAACAGGGCGGAAAAAAAAGAAGGAGAAAGAGAAGCAGCCGGCGCTGTATGTGCGAGTCAGCGGGAGAGACAGGAGGCGGGAGAGACGGGAGACGGGAGCCCACGACATGTGGCGCTGCCTCCCTGGAGCAGTGAGGAGACAGGGGGCTTTGCTTCTCGAAGGGCCAGCTCCAGGGCTGGAGTCAGAGCCACCTGGCTTTGAGCCCAGCCACACTCAGCAGTTTTGAGCGGCCTGCTCAACTTGCTTTTGACCGGCCGAGCCCCCGGGCAGGAGCCCCGGGGCTGTGTCCATGAGGCTGCAGGCAGCCAACTGGGGTTCCCAGCGGGGGACACAGAACAGGCCAGCTCCCAGAGCCGTGGGGTGTGTGGGGGTGCTGCTGGGAGTCAGGAAGTTGTCGTGGGCGGGGTGACGTCATCAGGTCCCCCAGGAGTCTGGGTTAGAACTTCCCCTGAGATTTGCCTGCCTAGATGCCACCAGAAAGTTTGCTAACCTCAGTGACTTCCCAGTGGCCCCTTAATGACTCTCATTCTGTGTCCTTAGAGCAAGGAGGCTCTACTCATGTCTTTCGCCATGACAGACGAAGGTCTTGGGTCTCAGAAGGAGTGTTCTGGACCAAAAATGTTCTCTCGGTTCTCAGGCAGTGACCCCTTCGAGGTTTACTCCTGGTAGGTGACAGGAGGCTCAGGAGCATCCCGAGGACTCTTAGCTGAGGGGTCCCAGCACAGGGGCAAGAGGAGGCAAAGCCCTGGTCACCCCTCTTCCCCAGGCCCAGCTGCTTTCCTCCACTGGAGGAAGGGAGGTGTGGTGTGCACGTGACCCTCTCCCCAAGTTTTCTGCTTTTCCAGGAGGGGAGATAATCACATCCCAAGTACCTGCTAGCTTATCCCAGAGCCGGGAACCAGGGTCCTGCATCCATGACTGGGAGCTTTGGAGAGCATACGCACTCACATGGGCACATGCACACACACACAAACACACACACACACAAGCAAGTAATGGAGATTAGAGAGCTGAAGAAGCAGCCAGATGTCTGTGGGTCGGCAGGATGTGCTGGAAGACGGGAAAAAGCGACACAAAGGACACAGCGCCGCAGAGCCAGGCTGGTCTTTCTCCCGCAGGCACAGGGGCTGAGGGATCTGCTCTCGGCCCTGGGCACCATACCAAGTCTCCACTCTGGGGACGGCAGGTCTCAGCTTCAATCCAGGGGGAAGCCCCAGGGGGCGCACACGTGGCTCAAGTCAGGCCAGGCCGAGGCCCTGCAGCTAGCCTTCTGCTGTGTCTAGCATCTCGTCCCCTGCTACTGAGGCGCTCCTCCTAGAGAGCGGGCCGACGGCCTGACTCTTCCTGCCTTGCCCGGGCCCTCCGAGCCGCCCTGGAAAATCATACTTAAGTACTGGTACTTAAGTGTTCTGGAGGGGCCCTCCAAACCCAGCTTACCTGCCCGTGAGAACCTGGTTGTCAGAATGACTAACCTTCTCTCTGAAAATCTGAGGATAGAGGATGCATGAGGGATGAAAGAGCAGACGGCTGAGCCTCCGGATTCCATCAGGAGCCTTCCTTCCACAGAAAAGCCAGGCCAATTCAACTTCCCCTCCCTTAGCCGGACCTGGTGGCTCCCATCCCTTTACGACCTGGACATCTAGATCACATGATAAGCCCATCCCTGAGATCGGAAAACACGCTAGGCCTACCTGGAAGTGCCGAGTTACAAGTCCAGTCCACGCCTGGAGACTCTCAGGGAGAAACGGAAGAAAAGGTAGGCTTGTCACTGCTTCTGAAAACAGCCCCTGGATACTGAAAGGGTGTGGCCACCTGCAAGAGCTTTCTGCTGCAAGAACACCCCTTCCGTCATGCGGGGCTGGGAGGAGGATGCTAGGGAACTTCCTCCATGACATTTCACAGAAGGCCGTCCACCCGTTCCTTCCTCCGTCATCTCTGAGAAGTTTTCATCCTATGGGAGGACCTGCAGGCAGGTATCTCAGCCCCAATCCCAGCCCTGGGGGGCATTTTCTGTTCTTGTTCAAACCCACAAGGAGACTGAACGGCCGCTAGCTTCTTCTGGGTGTCTGGACAGGCCTAGATGGGTCAGACCGCTGGAGCCTCACAACTTCCCCACACTGGGATCAGTTCAGGGTCTTGAGCCGCAAGAAATAAGGAGCACTTACTTTGACCTTCTCCCCTGAGATCTGGGCTAGAGGTACCCAAAGTCCCCACAACCTTTCTTAGTAAAATGAGCGTCAGAGCCATTATTTGCGGGGACGTCAGCCTGCTCCATCCTCCTGCAAGGGAGCCGGTCGGAGGCCAGGCTTCACATTTCCCATCGTAGTAGTGACACCTGATGGAAGGGATGCAGACTACCGTGAAAGCTGGGTTTCTGACAGTCTGGGTGTTCCCAAAGTCTGCTTCTCTTTCTCAGACTATCCTGGATGTCCTCAAAACTAAGGGTAAGTGAGCAGGATAGAAATGCTCTTCTAGACTCTGGAGTGATGCAGTACCAGCCAGATACGCAGACAGGATCCTGGCACGGGGGGTGGACAGTACACAGAAAGAAGCCTGCGTGGCCGAGAGAGGTAGCCCGACAGACAGCGTGTCGCTAGACAACCACATGCTTAGGGACTGCTGCTGGAGGCCGCGAAGGGGAAGAGAGGGATGCACGTGCCCCTAAGCAGCATGGCACGAGAGTCCCAGAACGTGGTGCCAGGAGAGCCACATTTAACCACACATGGGCCTTGGATCAGAACCAAGATGTGCAGAGGGTTTGCAGGCACACTGCGACCATGAGCCAGCCCTCCTGCCTCGCCTTTCCCAGACCCCTGGCCCCTCCCAGCTCTTCCTCCCCACCCCTCCTCACCTTGCTTCAGTCACCCCTCATCGCCTGCACACTGAGGGTCCCTGCACCCCCCAAATCCAGACATCAAAGGCTGCAGGGAACCATGACTTCACTCAGAGTGGAGGAGGAGGAGGGGGCTAGGATGCTTTTACTTCTTGGTTAAAAGAAAGGGCAGACGCTGTGGGGGTGGAGAGGGACAGGAAGTGGGGAACAATCCCAAGAATGACTTCTGGCACCAGATCACCCCCTGGACACCTAAAGGGTTTCTTTCCAGAGGGGGCTGCCCGAATCCCTGCCTCATACGCATGTCTGAGCTGGTCGGGGAGAGAAAGTCTGTGGGGAGGGGGCTAGAGTCTGCAGCGAGCAGCTCTCTCTGGTTTCCTAGGGGACTCGCTGGTGTCGCTGCCAGCCCTGTACTCCTGGGCTGAGCCACTGTGGCCTTAAGGTTTGGTCACACTCCCACTGTGGGCAGAACATGCAGGTGGAGGTAATGGCTACGGGGAGACAGGAGGCCCCACCCTGGACCTCGGGAGTGGGCTGGGGCAGTGACAGCCCTAATTGACTCCCACTGGAGTGGGAGCAGGTACGAAAGGAAAGAAGAAAAGAGAAATGAAATAAAACCCAACGGATGATATTCTCATTTCACACCAGCAGCAAGCAGCAGGCAGAGGTCAACAGCGCTAAGGAAGGTGAGGCCGCCCTTCCCAGAGATACCTTCTTCTTGGCCAGCAGCAAGTCCTGGTAAGCGTTGGACCGGAGGAAGCGGGCATAGCTGTCACTCTTCATCAGCTTGTAGATGTGCTCCTGGGAAGGGAGGGGGCGGGGAGACAAGGAAGAGCTGTCAACCGACAGGGAAGGGGACTGCAACCCAGCTGGCCACTGGGAAGGGCTGGGGAAGAAACAAGTGAACCAAAGCATCCTGTATGTACCTGGAAAAATCTGTAACATGTGTGCTTTGTTTTGTTTTTGTTTTTGTTTTTTTTTCCCACTCAGAAACACCAGCCCAAACCTATTTTCTCTCTTAGAGTGAAAGAGCCTCGAGGACAGGTCCCAGAGGCTTTGTAATCGGGCTTTGTGCCATGCTGGGATGCGGTATTGCTTAGTGCTTAAAACCAGAGGCACAGCAATAAGAAGGAAGAAACTATCAATGCGCCCAACCACTTGGCTGAATCTCAGAGGAATTATGATGAATGAAAAAGGCCATACATGCTGTATGAGTCCACTGATACGACATTCTTGAAATGACAACTTATAGAAACAGACAACAGATTGGTGGGTCACAGAGGTTAGGGATGGGGGAGGGGAGGGAAAGGGAGGGAGGTGTGGTTATAAAAGACAATATAAAATGTTCTTGTGGTGATGGACTAGCTCTGTATCGTGATACCCCTTACACATGCGATACTGTTGTAAAAAACTAAACATATACATACAGGTGGAGGACAGGTGGAATCGGGAAATCTGATAAACTCAGTGGCCGTAGCAATGTCAATGTCCTGGCCATGATGTTGTACTTAGTTTGCAGCTGTTACTACTAGGAGAAACTGGGTAAATGGGATATCTCTGTATTCTTTCTTACAACTGCTTGTGAATCTAGAAGTATCTCAAAAGAAAATTTTTAATTAAAAAAAAAGTCCACAGGCAATGATACAATTGGCTCAGTTTGTGCATGTCAGGGCCACCACCCCATCCTGGAAGGATGTCCTCGGAACCAGATCACAGGGGCACGTGGGCAAATATGCCAGGCCTGAGTCTTCCATCCAGGAGGGGCAGGCGCTGTGTCATGGTGCCTTCTTGGGCTCCTAGAGGCATTCCATTCTGGCCATGGCAGTGAATTGCACCCTTGAGTTCCAGCTAATTTCTATAACCTCATGATCCCTTCCTAATAGGTCTGTCCTCATTAAGGGCAGGGAAAGCCTGCTTCATTAAAAGAGGGAGCTTGTCGATTGATAAAGGGTTTCTTATCAGTTGAAATGGAAGGTAGCTTAGCTGCACAGGGAAGCCTGGTTGTCCCAAGAGAGGACCTGTTAGGAGGAGAGTGGCTTTCCCTAGGGAGGGCGGGGTCATTAGACAGGGAAGCAGCTTCTCTGATGTACACTCACTGTTCTTCCCACAAAGCTGGACCGGGGCCCCAGCACTCGGGGGCGTGGAGAGCTGGTCACTGAAGAGAGTGCTCAGCTGAGAGGCTGGACTGGACCTCTTCCTTGGGCACTCTTCCCAGGGTGAGGGCAGAGACCTTGCCTCAGCTGGGGGCACATTTTAGAGCTACCTGGCCTGACTGCTGGTACATCCCAGAGGAAGCTGGGTGATGACAAGGGCTTGCCAAGACCCACCTCAAAAGAAAGTGAAAGCAGGAAGCAAGTCAGCTTGGCGGCACGTGGAGCCCTCTCTGCCCTCTCCGCTCAGCTGGACCACATGCAAATCTGTTTGGGCAGCAGCTTCACTCTTGCCCAGATGCCCCCATATTTTCAAAAGCGGGGTGCAACCCTGCTTATGGGAAGGGACCACTGCAAGGGAGCCAAGGAAAGTGAAATGCTGGCTTCAAGCTGAATCTACCTGAATAATTCAGATGTGTTCCGATTTAATAAACTTAGTGAGAACATGCCCCACTGAGTGTTCTTCTGCAAATTTCAGACAAAAATCCGGCCCACTCTAGTTTAAGTTCCTTGAGGGAACAATATGGTTCAATCTCTTATATATGCCTAGCGTCCAGCACAGGGTTAAATGTTGGTGGAATTTATGCAACTTTTGGGTTCGCTGAAATGCTGGTCTGAGTTTAACATTCCGTGAATTTGCAGGCTTGATACTAGCTTCGGTTTATGATCGGACAAGTTCCGCTCTCTGTGTGGAAAGAGAGTAGGGGTCATGCCCAACTCAGAGGAAGTCCGTATGTGGACACCTCGGCTCCGCCCTAATGGCCTCGGAGCCCAGACTAAAGGACATCACGGTCTTTGTTTGCATTTACTGTCTCTTTAAGTTGATCGAACCTATAATGAAAAAGAATACAAAAAAGAATATATATGTATAACGGAATCACTTTGCTGTACACCAGAAACTAACACGACACTGTAAATCAACTATACATCAATGAAATAAATACATGAATGAATGAATGAATAAATACATAGGTCTAACATTTGCATGTTAGGTGCAAATGTTAACCCAGAGTGAAAATGGCTCACTGCCTTTGTTTTTGTCTCAGACATCACTTCTGTCTGGCCAGCAAAGCCAGGTGGCCCCTGAGTCATCTGGAAAGGCTTGTCACTCATGCCTGGACCCTCTCCAAACTCCTCTCCAAGGCAACAGACCCCTGTGTTCTGTTCTGGCTTCTCAGAGGAATCTAAATCCCCAGGCAAATCTCACAAAATCCCCCCCTGCTGCCCCGAGAGGAGTAAGGAAACCTCTTCCTGCCTCGCCCTTCTGGCCTTGCCACAAATTTCACCCCCAACCCAACGAATTCCTCCAGCCTCATCCCGGGCAGGAAAAGCCCGGTTCATTGAAAGAATTTGTCAGTTGAGAAAGACCAGGAGAAAGCAGGTGCCTCCACATTTGAGCCTCAAACATCCAGCAAATGTTTTTTGGGCATCTCTTAGGTGCCAGGCACTGTGTCAGGTGTTGAGATTACAGCGCAACCAAGACAGAAGAGGTCCCTGCTGTCATAACGCTCCGATCCCATTCCGCAAAGCTGTGCATGACCAATGGAGCTAAGGGCCACAGGGAAGAGATGCAAGTTCAGGGTGCCGTGAGCAAGTCTCAGAGGGGATGACCTGCCCTGCCAGAGGTGGGGAATGGTTGTCCATCAACCAGAAAGACACTCATTGAGAAAGGAAGAGCTGAGCAGACAGAAACGACACGTGTCTCCCAATTCCTAGTCCACTCGAGCAGGAAGGACAATCCAGGCCGAGGAGGAAGAAGCAGCCAACAGCGGTCCCCTCTCCAGGGGATCCGCGTGGGTCAGAGGAGCAGTTTGGGCACCGCTCTCATCCCCCTCTGCCACGTGGCAGCTCTAAAGCCGGACCAAGGCGGGGAGGCGCGGGGAGAGAGCAAGGCGCGAGCGCACGCCCGCTGGGGGTGGGCTGCAGCCCGCGGTCTCCTTCCGCCGGCCCCGCTACTGGCCCTCGGCCCTCATCATGACCCTTCCAAATTCCCCTGTAAGGAAACAACCAGCAGAGCAACAAGAGCAGGTGCGAGGCGTGATCCGAGAAAAACAGAATCTAAGAACCTCTGCAGATCCCTCACGCCCCGCTGCAGGGCCCGGGGCTTCAGGCCCCTCCGGCCTCCTTTCCCACCTCTGGGTCCAGGACGCGCCTCTCCCCTCCTCTCCTCCCCCAAGCAAAGAAATGGAGCCTTTGGTGTACCCGGTTACGGACCTCTGTTCCTTCCTCCTTGCCAGCTTTGTCTAAGAAACACAAAGACAGTAAACAGGGGGTGGGAGAACGGAGCGCTGAGGTTTTTCTGGGAATGAGAATTAAGATAGGACTCAGGGTCTTTGGCCAGTTCCCAAATGCAATGAGTTTATCACTGCCAGGGACAGCAAGTGTACAAAGCTCTTGGCAGTGACCCCTACTGATTTATGAGGGGTTCTGGTTTGTTTCCCCTGCTCTGTAGACAACCAGCCTTAAGGAAAACGTATACCCAGAATCCGCAAAGAGCAGGAGAGCCGCCAGCAAGAGCAGTGAGCGAGTCCCTGAGGGGCCTGAGGGAAAGAGGTCTGCTCTTCGCTTCTTCGCTTTTCCCTGTCTTGTCTTTTCACATTTCATTTTCCTCCCTTTCTCTCTCCATCCTTCCCTTCCTCTCTGTCCTTTTTCTCTTTCCCTCTTTCTCTGTTTTTTTCTCTATCTTCCCTCCATCCCCCCTCCCTCCCTCCCTTCCTTCTTCCCTTCCTTCCCTCCTTCCACCCCTCTCTCTTTCCCTCTCTCTCTGAAGAACAACTGGTTGAGTTGACTATGAACATGCAGAACTACTAGTGTCTGCATCTGCCTTCCTGACATGCAGGGAGGCACCTGCTCCAGGGAGGGTGAGGATGGTTCTCCATACATTGAGAAGCGGATGCACTAGGGCCGAGGTCATATTGAGTATCTTAGCCACAATTCTCAGTGGGGGGAGGGAATCACGCCCCTGTGAGATGTCGCTCCGATGAGACACTCCACTCTCATTTCCCCTCTTGGGCTTGGCCCCGGGACGGGAGCTCTGCTGACCTGGGATGCAAAGGCAGAAGCAAAACCAACTGGAACCATAGCCAGTATATTATAATAACCTTTAAGGGAGTGTAATCTAGAAAAATATCGAATCACTATATTGTACATCTGAAACTAATATAATATTTTAAATCAACTACACTTCAATGAAAAATTCTTTCAGAAAAAATTTTTTTTTAAATGGAGAGAAAGTTAAAAAAAAACCCCAAACCCCCAAAACAACTAGAACCAGGGAGTCTGAGACACATACAGGAGCTGGAGGGTGTGAGCAGTGCAGGCTGTCGCTAAACCACACCTGCTACAATCGATGTTTTGCAGTGAGAGTCCTCACTTGGAAATCTTCTCTATTTTTAGACAAAACACTTTGGCCCTCACAAAGCCAGGGGAAGGTCATCAGACAAATGCCCGGGTCTTGGGAGCAGCTGAACTACTTAAGAACACCCTTATGTCTTCCTCTTTGCTGTGGGTTCCTGAAACAGCTAAGATCTCATTTCCCAGGGTTAGAACATCCTTGTGGAGTGGGGGACCACTCATCTGGAGCACTGTACAGCTGCCAAGAGCCCTTCTTGGGATTTTCAAGTGCCCTGTTTTTCTTTCTGCAGAGGTATG